TCTCTCGGCCACTGTCGCTGCTGTAGATGCTTGCCTTGCCTCGCTTTACAAACATTTTCTACATCTTGGTTTTGTCTCTTTCCTCATTTATCGTCTCCATCTTTTTTTCTCCCTCGTTTCCTCCTTTCGTATTCCCGTGCTCCCCCATCATAATCCTGCATCCTCGTTCCCTGAACTTTCCCTCCCCGCTCCCTCCCTGTCACCCATACTGCGAGTCAAATCAAAACGGCTTGCTTTTCTTTCCGGAATCCACGACCGTATGGGTGCCATGTCAGGTTCATGAAGCTGCGTCTGGACCGCGTACTCAAGGGCGAGTTCGAGGCGAGCTCACAGGACGACGCATTGGAGGGCAAGCCCTTTGATATCTCCTTCCCCAAGCCCGCCAACTGGGTCGCGCCCTACCCTAAATACGAGCCCACCTGGTGGAAGCCCTATGCCCCAGCCAAGTATGCCAAGGCCAACTAGACGGGTTTGGGTTAGGGAGTGGGTGTGCTGTGCTGGGTTTGTTCTGGGGACGCGCTAGCGATGTGCTGTAAGTGACTTGTCAGGCTTGACACAATTTTTTGGCGAGCTTGAGATGGTAGAGAAATGAATGTGAAGGAACCGTTGTGCTGTACGATACCGTACGTCAGTTGCAATACCGTAACAGACTCTAGAGGTTGGCCCATCGCCCAAAGCATACGGTATTAATGAACAATGAGCTTATATTCAACTCCTGTGCCTATCTTATGAAGCATAAAATACAAGACTGCCTAACCAGATTGCAGCAAGCGTTTCTGTTTCAAAATCTGGGCCCCCACACAACGCTGCAAGCTTGCTCGTCAAACTTCACTTTCCTGTGGGGCCAAGAGGAAGAGCGCCTCACAGAGCGCCAGCAGGTCCGCTGGCCTCAGCCGCTCAAGCCTCTCTATCCCCTTGGAGAAATCCCGCCCCACCACCTTCTCCACCATTGCCCGCAGCACCCCTGCACCTTGACTCCCTTGACCCTGTTGACCCCCCTGACCCCCTTCCACCTCATCAGGCCCTCAGATTGGTTTTGGGCTAGGCTGAAATCAGACATTTAAGGGAAAAATGCCAGTGCATACTAGGAAAAACCGCAATTTTCCTGTATTTTTCCAAAAAAAAGGCTGAACTTTCAGAGTTCACTTCAAAAAAAGGCTGAAATATAACAGTTTTTAGGGCAAATCAGAGAAATTTCTCTGACTTCTGGGGGCCTGCACCTCATCCATCCCTTCCACCAGGCCCCAAAATGTCAGGGTATTTTACCCTGATTGCCCTGACTGGCGGCCGCTTTTTTTTGAAGTACCCTGACGCAGTCAGACTCCCAGGCTTTAAACACTGACTGGAAATTTGTTTGAAATTTTTTACCCTTATAGAATCAAAGTTCGCGTTTCGTTCCCCTGACTTCATCAGTGTTCTTTCCCACTTACCCTGATACCGAGTTCCTCGAAGCGAGGATTCTGCTACACTACACATACACTGCACCTGTGACGTGGTGCCACTCTCCCATCTTGTCGCACCCGCCCTATGGTGAAAAACTGCCAAACCCCCCCACTGACCCCAAAGTTGCACCCATTGGTGTTTTTGGCAAGAATCGTGCCAGCGCACCCGTGTTTGCTGCCAATACAGCTCATAGTCCCTGCCAACTGTGGCTGTTTTTGCCACAGCACGGCAAAACTGGCGCGATGCGTGGCTCGTCTTGCCCAGTGCTGCAGATGCCATGCCATCACGTAACAGCCTGTACCTGCCATGGTTTCCCTCGCTGCATGTACAGCTTTTCGCGGTGCGGAGGGGGTCCTCCATCCTTCCTTTCCAACTGGAAATCGTCTCTCTCACTTCTCTCTTGCACTTCCCCGAGTTCTCACGGAGTAGCACCAGCCAGTCATGCCAGCCGAGCAAGAGCCCGATTCGGAACCGTCTGGGGGCTCAAGAAACGGGCTCTCAGTTCTTGGCGTTCTTCCCAAGATTTCTGATAATTTCACCGTTTGTCAGAATCCCAACCACTAGACCACTGGGATAAAAGGGCTTGTTAAGTAGCGGGTCAGTGCGCCCATAACCCCCCAGGCCAACATGCCTGTAACCCTTCCCTAGGATCAATCGGGGATCACCAGTGGACCTCTGACACCCCCCCGCACTGGGATGCCCGAAGTGCACACACTGGGATTCGAACCCGAGACCTTCGCTCTGATACCATGTCAGAATCCCAACCACTAGACCATTGGGATAAAAGGGCTTGTTAAGTAGCGGGTCAGTGCGCCCATAACCCCCCAGGACAACGAGCCTGTAACCCTTCCCTAGGATCAACCGGGGATCACCAGTGGACCTCTGACACCCCCCCGCACTGGGATGCCCGAAGTGCACACACTGAGATTCGAACTCGAGACCTTCGCTCTGATACCATGTCAGAATCCCAACCACTAGACCATTGGGATAAAAGGGCTTGTTAAGTAGCGGGTCAGTGCGCCCATAACCCCCCAGGACAACGAGCCTGTAACCCTTCCCTAGGATCAATCGGGGATCACCAGTGGACCTCTGACACCCCCCCGCACTGGGATGCCCGAAGTGCACACACTGGGATTCGAACCCGAGACCTTCGCTCTGATACCATGTCAGAATCCCAACCACTAGACCATTGGGATAAAAGGGCTTGTTAAGTAGCGGGTCAGTGCGCCCATAACCCCCCAGGCCAACATGCCTGTAACCCTTCCCTAGGATCAATCGGGGATCACCAGTGGACCTCTGACACCGTTCCCATCGCACAGCCGCCTCGTGACGCCTCGCCCGTGCGAAGCGTCGGCTATGTGTTTGCAGTCGAGCGGCCCACTTCTCCTAGTGCTGTTGAGCCGCACCTGTTGCTGGTTCTTGTTCCTGGCGGCGATGACGGCAGCTCAAGGCCTTCTACTGCGTCCCCGTCGACCGTGAACAGCACGCCGGGCAAAAGGCCGAGGATCGGGGTGAAATACACTCAGCAGAGGCTCTGGGCCGCACCGCCACCAAAGAACGATGCATCACCAACGCGCACCGAAGCTCGTGCCGATCCCAAACCACCAACCGAAACCGCTGAAGCTGAGTACGCAGCGTACAAGCACAGGTACGATACTGAGTGGGCAGGGAAATTCGAATGGTTACGGCTACATCGTCAGACCAACGGGAGACCTTCGCTGAAATGCAGTGTCTGCATGAAGTACAGCGATCCTACCGCTCGCACGAGCTACGGCGTGAAGGGTGAGGGTGGCCGTGACTTGCAAATTGGAACCATCCGTGTTCGCTCATCCACCCGAGCACATAAACAGGCGTTGGAGAGCGAGGCTCGGTCACTTGCAGCAAAGGAGAAGCAAGTGACTTTGACAAGGTGGCAGGAGACGGATGCGTCAACTCGCCACATCATCCGCTGCCTGCATATCGCGATGTTCGTCTGCAAGGCCGACGCACCCATCGCGATGTTCGTCCCCCTGTGCTGGTTTCTCGCTAAGGAGGGACTTCCAGATCTTCCCCCCAACGGCGGCTACGGTGCATACTACACTGAGTACGTTAATTGTCCGTTGTTTGTTGTGCTTTTCGAATGACTGTTAGTGGGAGTTTTTAATCTAAATTGTGCGTTGTATGTGTTGCAGTTACGGTTTCAAGGAATCCCTTCGTGCGACAACCGCGTGCCTGCAGGAGACGCAGCGGCTTCACCTTCTGGAATCGCCGTGGATGTCCCTCTCGCTCGACGAAAGCACTGACCGCATCCACGGCAAACACCTCATCATTTACGTCACGTACCTCAAGAACAGGGCCGTCGTCAACGAGTTCCTCACCTTGATAACCGTGGATCGCGCTGACGCTGCTTCTTTGTCCTCCGCTGTTGTGCAGTACCTGACCGGTATTGGTGTGGACTTGCAGAAAGTAACAGGCATCGCGACCGACGGAGCGAGCGTAATGGTGGGGAAGAACAATGGAGTGGTGGCGCGGCTCAGAATGCGTATACCTCACCTGGCGTCAACACACTGCATCGTGTTGTGTGATGCAATCATATGCATTCACGTCTGTCTGCCTCCCATCATGTGTTCGTGCGTTGCATGCGTGGTGTGAGCGTATGCAAGAATTTGTGTTTTGTGCGGTTTGGTTTTTCTGAGTGTGTGTGAATGTTATTTGGCTTGAGCAGATATCTGAAGTGACTCCTCTGCTCAAGAGCTTTCTGACGAACCAAGTATCGCTTCAATCGGAGCACGAACAAGAAAGTTACGAACGTTGGAAGTTCGTATGCTTTTGATATTTGGTTGTGGTGACTATGGGAAGTTGTGGTGTTGACTCCATAAGGAGTACAGACTCTTGGGGGTTGGGAAATTCGTCAACATCACTGTAGATGCTGCCAAGTGGTTGGGAGGTGCCAAACCAGGTTGGCAAGTGTGGTCAAGTTGGGTGAGGTGGATGGCATGAGTTGGGAAAGTGACAAATGTCAAAGTTGGGGTGCCTATAGAGAGGGGAATTGTGTGGTATGGGGTGTCCTTGGTTGGGGACTCCCTTGGGACCTTCCCTCTCGTCCTCCTCATCCCCTCCTACCTGGTTCTATTGCTACTCTAACTTTCTTGTGTGAACTTGTGAGATAATTGTGATTGAGTTACGTTTTCTATGGCAGCATACCCCCTAGTGCGCCGAAGTTCATAACTCGAGTTATACTCCATATTTTGATACTATTCAAATTGGGAAAGATAGCCACGGTCAAGGGCTACAACATACTTGAGTTTAAAAGAATTCTAACTGTGGACCTTTCGTCGACGACGTTTCTTGTGACGACGACTTTTCTGTCCAGAATTGTAGTTGACGATTTTGAGATATTTCAGCCCCTAATCTTCATAGACTCCGTCCCTAGTCTCTAACACATCGCGCATCGGTAACTATGATGTCTATGCTCGGTAGTTTCAAGTTCAGAGGATATGAACTCATGTATCTTGTTTTGAGCATGCAGGGAGGCACTTGCTGCAAAAGATGCCGCTGAAGCTGTCCCTGAGCTGAACATGATAGACGATGTCGTCCGTGCGTTTTCTGAGCTTATAGGGAGGAGCGGCGTGCAGTACCAGAAGTTTCAAAACCTGCAACGAGTGTACTGCAAGACGAATCTTGAGGCGCAGGGAATACACACCGTCCGGTGGCTGTCGCGTGGCGAGGCCGTTGCCCGGCTCCTCGAGGTCTTGCCAGCCGCCATCGTCGTGCTCAAGGACTACAAGCCCGACTTGTACGAGGTTGTGACCTCGTTCAAGTTTCATTGGCTACTACGCTTTCTTGCTGACATCCTGTGGGAGCTGAACCACTTGAACCAGCGGTTCCAGCAAAGTCAGGTCAGTACTTGAGCTTAACTATAGTGACAAGACAAATGAACAAGTGCACTGCCCCTTACACCCCACCGTCGCTTCCTTGTGGTTGATGCAGATCGACGTCACGCTTGTGGCGCACATCGTGGAGCAGACGCGCATGCGGCTGAAGGCGCGGTACCTGAGCGGGGCACCTGGTCACACCTTTGGAAGCGGGGAGTACATGACTCTTCCCGATTTCTTCTTGAAGCACCAGAAGCAGGACAAGCGCGAGATGAAAGTTGAAGGCGTTGACTGCGAGGGAAATCCGGTGTCGTTCACTTTCGTTCTGCACGAGCGGCCGTTGAAAGGGCAGGAAACCGATGACGACGTGACAACCTGCTATGAGCTATCGTTGAAATTTGTCCGCGCGATTGACAAGGAACTGGAGTGGCGGATGCGTGATCTCGCCAACCTGGAGGGTTCGAAGCTGTTCCACACCGCCTCTTACCTCACGGACGACGCCAAGCGCGTTGAGGCGTTCAAGCGCTGGCTGGGAAAACTACACAAACTCTATCACGAGAAGCTGCCATGTGTGTGGTGAAGCGTTGACTATCTGTCCGTTGTGATCATGCATGTTGTTTGAATTTGGTGCACCATCCGTGGCTTGTCTTCGTCTTCTGTTGGTCTAATACGCCCCATTCCACCCGGTGTATGCTACTTTAGCCCTATTTGACCCCCACCCCGTACACCAAGCTTCGACTTCAAGAAGGCGAGCAACGAACTGTGGATGTTCACATCCACACTGTTCAGCCAGCACAACGGGGAGGATTTCCACCAGGCGCTTTCGAACATGATGCGTGACGATGGCTGGCAGCAGTCATTCCCCAACATCATGAAGATGTGGCAGGCCGTCGCCGGAATGTGAACGCGGGTTCAGCAAGCAGAACCTGATCAAAACGTGGGACAGAGGGTGCCTCTCGGACACCAGCCTGGAGCACCTCATGCGCTGTTCCCTTGTGCAGTATGAGGTGGACTGGTTTGAGGTGGTGGCTATCTTCAGGGGGGAGAAATTGCGCAGGTCTACAAAAGACTTCACCGGCAGCAACGAGAGCAAGACCTTGTTTGCACAAGAGGATGTAGAGGGGAGTGTGCCTACGGCAATGTAGGTGTAGATTAGTGGGACATTTTTTAGATGTATCGACTTTCTTAATGTAAAACAACCTCAAAGCATTGTGTGAGGGATTTTGCAGTAACAATCAGTGTTGGGTGCCGGTTTGCACTGACTAGATAAGAGTATTTGTTTTTTACCCTGCACCCATCAGACTTCGAAAAATTTCACCCTAGGACTCAGAGTTGGCCACAGCTGGAGCTCTGATCTGTAAGGGTGAGCCTAAACCCATTTTGGGGCCTGCCTTCCACTCCATGGAGTGCGCCCACCATCCTCTCAAAGTAGGAACACAACGGAATGTGTGAACTAGGGATATAAATAGCAACCCTAAAAGTGTTGTACTCCAGGGCTCAGGTTTGCAGTGTAATTTACCCTTCTATATTGATGATAAGGGTGGAATTTTGAGTCTACATTGATGGGCTGGGGTATTTTTTTGGTGAATTAGTGTTACACTGATCTGTAAGGGTATCCTTGTAGGCCACACTGACGCATTGGGGTAATTTTATAGATATCGAAGATTACACTGAAGGGCGTACAGGGACCACCCCCCCCCCCCCCCCCCCCCCCCTCCCCCCCTTTTTTTCCCCGAGATTTGTCAGATCGTGTCCGATTGGTCAGTTAGGAATAATTCCCTTGCCAGCACGACACGCAACCCAATTTAGGGGGCAACTACAGTATTGCTGCCTAAACTAGGTCTAGCCACTGGGACCACATTCAGACTGTCGGTGCGTGGAGATGCTATCCGTGTCCCCGACCGAGGCTCTCTGGGTGTTTTTGTCCCGATGCGTTGCTGTGTTGGTTCGACAAGCACAGCAAGCAGTATCGCCACACACCGTCATTCCACCACCACCCCAAATTTCCACTTGTTGTAACCACTCGCTCTAGCAGTCGAGCTACCACCACCTCGTAGCCATGGCAGCGTCTGGAGACCTGGACGCTGCCAATGCTGATGATGGCGACCCTTCTAGTAGCAACTGGCCAAGGACAGGCCTTGATTTCTTGCGAGGCCATGTTACAGAAGCTGCACCTCGCCCTTTGCCAGAGCCCTCGGTTGACAGTGAGGGTTGGCAATTTGTGCGCAAAGCTATGCCACAGTCACCACCGTGACAGCAGGTGCTAGAATCAGACGACGCTGAATGGCAACGTCCCACACGCATTGAGGCGGACCCCGTCGTTCACGACAACGGTGAGACGACGGAGTTCGTTACCGAAGCCCCGGAGTCTTCTAGCTCTAAAGCGCTGAAACGACGCTGCTACACGCAGACTACTATTGGGTTCGGCGCCGGCACGCCTCTCGAGAAACCTCCTTCTCCGCCACCTCCCACTGTCACTCCAGCGCGGTCACCTCTCAAGCAGACTGCAGCTGAACGCGCTGAAGCGAAGTTTCAGGAAGCACAGAGAAACTACATTACGAAATGGCTCCCGCAGTTTGATTGGCTGTTGATCGACAGGGGTGATGATGGCCTGCCTTGCTTGCGTTGTAGTGTGTGCAGTGAACACGGCCCAGACAACGCTAGATACGGGAGGAATGGAAGCGGCGGACACGACTTGCAGCCAGCGTCGATTCGGGCGCACCAAGCAAGCACTCGCCATGAGGAGTGCATCGACCGTCAAAAGGGGCTCCTCGACAAGTTGGCGGCGCAGAAGAAAATAGACGACTATGAGAGAGTGGACCCGGAGGGCGCGTGCGTGGTCAGGCTCATGCGGAGCATACAGTTTGTGTGCGACGAGGACGCACTGATCGCTATGTACCTGTGGCTCGTGGAGTTTCTGGCCAGGGAGGGTGTTTCCGACATCCCTCAACAGGGCTACGGTGTTTACATCACAGAGTGCGTATATTTGTTCATTTTTTTGTGTACATTTTTTTTGTATACTATGCGGGGGCTAATCCATTTATGCGCATCTTGCAGGTACGGTTTCAAGGAGATGGTGAAGGCGATGTGCACTTATCAGCAGCAGCAACAGATGATGTACATCCACGCGTCACCTTGGATCGGCATCAGCTGTGACGAGAGCACAGACAGAGCGCGCGGGAAACATCTTGTGGTGTTTGCGACTTTCTTGAAGGACCGACAGGTTGCGACCGAGTTCCTAGCGCTGCTAACCGTCCAGAAGTGTGACGCTGCTTCAATCTTCACCGTCTTGCTAAGCCACCTAGAGACTGTCGGCCTGGATCTGCAGAGGATCGTCGCCATCAGCACCGACGGCGCGGGTGTGATGATGGGCACCGAGCGGGGCCTCGTGGTGCGCCTCCGTCAGCGCATCCCACACCTCGTCGGCACGCATTGCATCGCTCACAGGTATGTAGTGTTCATATTCTATCACATGCAGTTCTATCCGAATATTATCAGTGTCGTAACAATTATGTGTGTTGTTGTGCAGAGAAGTTCTTGCGGTGAAGGAGTTGGCGCTGAAGTTCAAAGACCTTGACATCGTCGACGCTGCAATCCGTGCGCTTGGAGACATCGTCATGAAGTCGTCCGTCTAGCATGAACGCTTCAAGGAGCTGCAGCAAGAAATCCACAAGACGAGCTTGGAGCACCAGGGGCTATTCGACGTGAGATGGCTGTCGCGTGGAGATGCCGTGCAGCGGCTATGCAGGGTCCTTGGGGCAGCAGTCGTGGTTTTCCTTGAGTACAACCACAAGATGGCCGCCGTTGTTCAGTCGCTAAAGTTTCACTTCTGCCTCTACTTCTTGGCGTATCTTCTCGTGGAGATCAACGCCCTCAATCGGTTTTTCCAACGACGGAAAGTAAGTGATACGTTCAGTGTTGATGACAACCCGGTATTTTCAAATTGGCACTCATGACAATTCTCTTAACGCAACCATCCTGTTGTTGTTCCTACCTCAATCTCAGGTTGACATCACGCTCGTGCACCAGGAGTTGGACCGCACGATTGGCTGCATCAGGCTGCGCTACGTGGAATACGACAAAGGTTTCGGAGGGGGAGTCAGCAAGCTGCTGTCGCCATTCATCGCACGGATGGCAAACGGGAAACGAAAGATCAAAGTGGACGGCGTGGGTGCGGAGGGCGAGCCAACATCGCATGAGATCGAGCTGAGCGAGGAGCCGCTTCCGGGACACAAGTACGGCGGATCGATGGCCGATTGCATCAAGCTATGCAATGCGTTTGCGCTGGAGGTGGCGACAAATCTTCACACCCGCATGTACAGCCAGAAGGACATGGAGGGCAGCAAGCTATACAAGGTGGAGTCGTGGCCAGATGCGACAGAGAAACGAGAACGATGGGTGGTGCAGTGGCTGGATTCCAACGCAAGTGTCTTCAAGAACAGGCTGCCAGGTGTGTTGTTGCTCACGTTTCATAGTTGGATGTGATGTTTGTTGGTGCCATGTTGGTCGCAGCTGATGGAGAAAATGTTTTTGTTCTATGTTTACGTGGCAGGCTTCAACCACCGTGCGGCGGATCTCGAACTCACAAGCTTCTGCCACGTCATGTCGCGCCACTACGAGGATGCAGACTTCTACCAAAGGCTTGCCAAGATGATGAAGACCACGGACTGGCCACGTAGCTACCCAAACCTGGTGTCGATGTGGCAGGCGCTTGCAATGATTCCACTAAGCACCGTCGAGTGCGAGCGCGGATTCAGCCGTCAAAATGTCATCAAGAGCTGGATGCGCACGTCGCTCGGAGACGCCCGTCTATCCGAGCTGATGACTCTCAACATGCTGGACTACGAGTACAAATGGGCCGAGGTGGTGGAGATATGGCGGAAGCAAAAGAAGAGAAGACCCGCGAAAACACCTGCCCCGCACACGCCCTATGCAGGAAAGGGCAAGGCAATAGTGGAGTCGTCTGATAGCGAGGACGAGCATTATGTGATTGAATGACTAAAATCTATTTGTCTTAAGGTGTGAGAGTTGGCTTATTATAAGACTAAGCGAACAACTGTCAGTGTACGGAAATAACCCACACTGATGATGTAGGGTAAAATTTTCAACACTGGATGTTACACTTCTCTATCAGTGTAATGAAAAAGTACACACTGCTCAGAAGGGTTTAAAAAAATGCTACACTGCCAATCGTGAGTTGGCCAAATCCAAAACGAAGCCCTGTTGTACTCCCTAGAGTGCTACTCACTGTAGCCTAAGAACCTATAATAACATTTGACACACCCCCATAGGCTAAGTGAGGGGCATCAAAGCAAGCAAGGTGAACAAACGGTCACGAGACCAATCAATGCAAGAAGCAAAGCAAGCTCAGGGTGGATCTCAAGGACACCACACAAATTCCGAGCACAAGCAAGCGACGACAAGGCCAGTTCAAGAGTTCACTAGTGTTGGAAACACATAGTTGACGCTTCTGAAGTATCGAAGTAATAACACGAACGAAGCAGACTACAGTGAAGCAACAAGCGAGTCAAACAAGGAGGTTAACAAAACGTAACATCTGGAGGTTATGCGAAGGTCAAA